CACACACTCACACTCTCTCACACTCTCACACACACATACACACACACACACACACACACTCACACTCTCTCACACACTCACACACACATACACGCACACACTCTTACACACACACACACACACACACACTCTCACACACACACACACACACACACACACACACACACGTGAGATCACTGAACAGAACCTCAGTTTTCATCAAAGCAAACACTCTGGCTGCAGTAAACACACATGAACCTCCACACATTCATCAATCAGAGCTCATTTACATACAGATGTATTTTATTTCTCCAACAAAATGGAGTTTTTCATTCCTTTCCTCAGTCGTCTCTGGCTGCTCAAGCATTATGTGTTGAGTTCCTAGCAGCTCCGTTTAAACTACTTAAAGGTGGGCAATATGACCAAAACCTTTACCGCAATATAGTGTCATTTTCAACCAGAAACTATACCATGAGTAATTTATGACCTGAATATTTATCAAAATATAAGTAATTTTCAACCAAATTAAGGAATTGCATGACAATATAATATTTTTGCCTTAAATCAGAGATACTACTAGTCGAAATTAAAGCCATACTCCGTATTTCTAAAATAATTGCTAATTACATTTGGTCAATAATAAACTCATAGTGTTGATGACCGGCTGTTTTTCACTTAAAACAACCGATCGAATCTTCACTGGTGCTCTCTGAGAATTCTGTACTCTCGCTTACAAAACTGCCATTACCTAAATCTGTCTCGGTACTTTAGAAAACACTTGGATGTGTGTCTGATAATTAGGATTTTCAAACTGAATTTGACAAAGGTACAGTAGTAACAGTCTGAGAGAAAGAGCATGAAAAACTCACCAGTTCAAAGCCCTATAAATGACTACAAAAAAGGACTCTTTGTTATTGTCTTCTTGCATTTATTTTCCTGTTTGACTCTGTAAAGCTGCTTTGACACGATCAGTATTGTAGAAAGCACTATAGAAATAACGGTGACTACAGAAGTGTGACACGACTCTGTGAATCACTGAGATGACTCTTGTCATTGAATGAATGATGAAGTGAGTCAGTCGTGTGAACTGTTCCTGGATCAGTCTCGCAGCGGCTCTGACTGACGCTTCGTGTCCGTGTCGTTCCTCAGGTGTTCTCGGGTCAGTTCTTATCGGATAAGAAGATCGGCACGTATGTGGAGGTGGACATGTACGGCCTTCCCACCGACACCATCCGGAAAGAGTTCCGAACACGTATGGTGATGAACAACGGCCTGAACCCGTACTACAACGAGGAGCCCTTCGTCTTCAGGAAGGTCTGACATCTTCACGTTCTCTCACGTGATTCTGCTTCAGAAGACTGCACTGGATATTATTTCCACTTGTTTTCGTTATTCTCAGTATTTAATTTTAGTTTGTTTGGATAATCACTCAGTTTTGTTTTAGTTTAAAGCAGTCAGTTCTTTTGTTAGTGATTCATTCAGTCAGCAAAGATGGAAATATGAATCAAAAGTCATGAAGCCGCACATGAATCAGTTCAGAATGATGCTTTAAAATGATTCATCACAGTTTACTGTAAGCTGAACGTTTGATGAATGTTCGATAAACGTTTGAGTGTTAGATGAAAGTTTGATGAATGATAGGTGAGCGTTAGATGAACGTTTGATGAGCGTTAGATGAAATTTGAGCGTTAGATGAACATTTGATGAATGTTAGATGAACATTTGAGCGTTAGATGAACGTTTGATGAATGATAGGTGAGCGTTACATGAACGTTTGATGAGCGTTAGATGAACGTTTGATGAGCGTTAGATGAAATTTGAGCGTTAGATGAACGTTTGATGAATGTTAGATGAACATTTGAGCGTTAGATGAATGTTTGATGAGCGTTAGATGAACGTTTGATGAGCGTTAGATGAACGTTTGAGCGTTAGATGAACGTTTGAGCGTTAGATGAACGTTTGATGAAAGATAGGTGAGTGTTACATGAACGTTTGATGAGCGTTAGATGAACGTTTGATGAATGATAGGTGAGCGTTAGATGAACGTTTGATGAGCGTTAGATGAACGTTTGATGAGCGTTAGATGAACGTTTGATGAGCGTTAGATGAACGTTTGATGAGCGTTAGATGAACGTTTGATGAGCGTTAGATGAACGTTTGATGAATGATAGGTGAGCGTTACATGAACGTTTGATGAGCGTTAGATGAACGTTTGATGAATGATAGGTGAGCGTTACATGAACGTTTGATGAGCGTTAGATGAAATTTGAGCGTTAGATGAACATTTGATGAATGTTAGATGAACATTTGAGCGTTAGATGAACGTTTGATGAATGTTAGATGAACATTTGAGCGTTAGATGAACGTTTGATGAATGTTAGATGAACATTTGAGCGTTAGATGAACGTTTGATGAATGTTAGATGAACATTTGAGCGTTAGATGAACGTTTGATGAGCGTTAGATGAA